GCCACAGTCTGCATCTGCACTCATCTTTGCACCTAGAAATATAAAGTCTGTCACGGCCTCCACATTTTCTCCCTCTATTTCCCAGTTGTCAATCATTCTTGTTGCCATAATCTTGGGTTTTTTTATTTTTAGCTGCAGCCCAGCTTTTGCACTTTCTTCTTTCACCTTGATTAGAAGGCTCCTCAACTCCTCCTCGCTTTCGGCCATCAAAGTGGTGTCATCTGCATATCTGAGGTTGTTAATGTTTCTTCCAGCAATCTTAACCCCAGCTTTGCATTCATCAAGTCCCGCACATCGCATGATGTGTTCTGCATACAAGTTAAAAAGGTTGGGTGAGAGTATGAAGCCTTGCCGTACGCCTTTCCCAATCTTGAACCAGTCTGTTGTTCCGTGGTCAGTTCTTACTGTTGCTACTTGGTCCTTGTACAGATTCCTCAGGAGAGAGACAAGGTGGCTTGGTATGCCCATCCCACCAAGAACTTGCCACAATTTATTTATTTATTAATGACATTTATATGCCGCCCTTCTCACCCTGACGCGGCTTACAAGTAAAAAGTAAATATGTTCTAGAGGCATTCTCTCCTGACGTTTCGCCTTCATCCATGGCAAGCATCCTCAGAGGTAGTGAGGTCTGTTGCAACTAGGAAAAAGGGTTTATATATCTGTGGAATGACCAGGGTGGGACAAAGTACTTTTGTCTGCTGGAGCTAGGTGTGAATGTTTCAACTGACCACCTTGATTAGCATACAATGGCCTGGCAGTGCCTGGAGCAATCTTTTGTTGAGAGGTGATTAGATGTCCTTGTTTGTTTCCTCTCTGTTGTTGTGCTGTTGTAATTTCAGAGTTTTTTAAATACTGGTAGCCAAATTTTGTTTATTTTCATTGTTTCCTTCTTTCTGTTGAAATTGTCCACATGCTTGTGGATTTCGTGTTTGTATACAAACTATCTATACAGACCCACCAAGAAAATCCAACAAATTCTTCGTTCAGCAAAGGACAAGAGGGATCCTCTCGCTTCTGCAGGAGTCTACTGTATATCATGCAGCTGTGGACAAGTCTACATAGGGACCACCAAACGCAGCATTGCCCAAACACGAATCAAGGAACATGAAAGGCACTACAGACTACTTCAACCAAAGAAGTCAGCCATAGCAGAGCACCTGATGAACCAACCTGGACACAGCATATTATTTGAGAACTCGGAAATGCTGGATCACTCTCACAACCACCATGTCAGACTACACAGAGAAGCCATTGAAATCCTCTTTGTCCTACTGTCTCCAGGTACTTCAATGTCTATAATAAAAACATGTTTCTTTTTCTCAACTGTTATATCTGGTCTTTTATGTGGTAGGTGTTTATCTGTTTGGATTCTAAACTCCTCGAATATTTTTGCATCTTTGTTTTCTGTGGTCTTTTCTGGCTTGTGGTCATACCAGGTTTTCCTGCAGGGTAGGTCATACCTCTGGCAAAAGTTCCAGTGCACCATTTCTGCTAGACTGTTGTGACGTACCATATACGTCACAATAGTCTGGGCTATTTTCTTGCAACTGTCACTGATGTGCCACCCTCAGGGCAATATTTGATGAATATTTCCTTCTTGCTCAACCTTCAGAACTGCTTCTTAGCAAGGCACACTGGATAGAGGTCTCTGGGAGTTCTAGTTTGTCAGAAGCTGACCTCAGAATCACCTAGTCAGTGAAACGTTTTTTAAAAGTGTGATTTTTATTTGCAATTTTCCACTTCCACAGGGGTCTTGTGCCCCTAAAGCCCACAAATGTGGAGAGCTGGTTGATTGTTATGAATATTAATACAGATATACAGGAATGATTTTTTGGTTACCACTAGATGGTAGTAGCCCCAAGTGTAGGCAATCTCTACCCAAAAGCAGTCAGACCAGATTAATACTTGAATGGGAGGCTGCCAATGAATAGTAGACACTGCAGGCTATATTTCAGAGGAAGGAACCGGCAAAACCACCTCTGAATATAACTTGCCTAAGAAACCTGTAACACTTATGAAGTTGTCATAATTTGACAGATGATACCTTCATTGTTGTTTATTTGCTCAGGACTCTTCGTGACCTCATGGACCAGCCCATGTCAGAGCTTCCTGTCAGCCGTCACCACCCCCAGCTCCTTCAAGTTCAAGCCAGTCACTTCAAGGATGCCATCCATCCATCTTGTCCTCTTCGTTTTTCCTTCCATTTTCCCCAGCATCATCGTCTTCTCTAAGCTTCCCTGTCTTCTCATTATGTGGCCAAAATATTTCTTCTTTGCTTCTAATATCCTTCCCTCCAATGAGTAGTCAGGCTTTATTTCCTGAAGTATGGACTGGTTGGATCTTCTGGCGGTCCAAGGCGCTCTCAGAACTTTCCTCCAACAACAATATATTGCAGGAATAGAGTTCACACAGATGAAGGCCAGTTTGAAGTTCACAAAAATACATCCTGAAGTTTTTTTTTTGTTTTTTTTTTTTAAAAAAAAAGCTTTGCAAAATCAACTTGATGACATGTTTGCATTGGGAGACCCAAAATGCTCAAATACATTTTCAGCTCCATGCTGACCAGGGCAGGTTTTTGCATACCTTGATTTTTAAAAAATAGATGAGCAAACCAGAAAGCTCCAGCAAATCAGCTGCTATGCCTTCCACCAAAGTGCCTCTGTTGCAACATGGAGGCCAAAGAGTCAATAGTTTCATGAAGCTCTAATGGGGACAATTATTCTTTGCTTGAACGTAGCTGAGACATAGCTCACTCAGGGCCCTTCCACACACCTATTTAACCCAGAATATCAAGGCAGATAATCCATAATATCTGTGTTTAATAATAATAATAATAATAATAATAATAATAATAATAGGGGTATTTTTTATGTTGACAGGACTTCTGCTTTCAGAAAGTCTACAAGGCTGTTTATTAAATATTGGAAGGATGCCAGTGGCCTTCCTGTGTCATCTCAACGTCTATCATCATGGATTGTCTCGACGATCTGTTTGGCTTATCAGCTGGCCCGCAGGGATCCTCCTCCACAGCTGAAGGGCCATTCCACGAGATCAGTGTCCATGTCGGTGGTGTTCATGAAAAGTGTCTCCTTGGATGCTGTCTGCCGTGCTGCAACCTGGTCGACCCCGCTTACCTTTGTGTCGCATTATAAGATGGATGTCACTTCCAAGAAGGATGCAGTCCTCTTCTCAGCGGTGGCATGACACCCGCCGTCCAAGGTCAGTAGCTTGTTAATCTACCACATGTACGATTCACAGGGACCACGACAGAGAATTATAGGTTGCTTACCTGTAACCGTAGTTCCCTGAGTGGTCACCTGTGAATTCGTACATTCCCACCCGTCCTCCCCTCTTGTCATGCCTCCTTGTTCTGGCTGCTTTGCAGCGTGAGAGAACTGAGAGGCTGGGGCTCGCCCACTGGCTATTTATGGTGCCCGAGAGAAGTAGGCAGGGCTTCAATTAATCTGTCATTTTATCTCTCTAGAAGGTTCCGAAATTGCTCTGCGCAGGCGCAGGAATACCACATGTACGAATTCACAGGTGACCACTCAAGGAACTACGGTTACAGGTAAGCAACCTATAATTCTTTGGTCCCAAAGCAGCCGAACAGTGGCCAAAGTGCCCCCGGAAGATGTCCCCAAGGGCTGGGCTTTGTCTTCCCTCCCTCCATCCCTCCCTCCTTTCCTGGGAGGGTCCAAGGCCGCCTTGCAGCCTCTGGCCTTGGGAAGTACCAGGGAGCCTCCAGAGCCAGAGGGAGAGGCCCCTTCCTCCCAGAAGAGGAGCCAAGGGGGCCTCCGCCTGGGGTTTGAGAGCAGCGTTTCTCATCCTGGGTGTTGGGAGGTTTTAGAAGGATTGCCCAAGACCACCAGGAAACATATATTTCTGATGGCCTTAGGAACCCCTTCGGCAGAGAAGACTGAAGACCTTTCAGCGTGTCCTTTTTTCCTTTTTGGAAATAGATGGCGAATCCTCCCACCAAAAGCCCTCCTCCACAGTGATTGTCCAGCTTCTCAGCCAAAGGGAAGGCTGAGAAGATTTCAAGCAGGGGAGGGGAGAACAGGCATGCTTGGCACATGGCAGCGTGGTGTGCATGTGTGGGAGAGCGTGTGAGGCAGGAGGGAGGCTCGCATCAGCAAGTCCCTTCAAGGCATGAGGGTTCTGTGTGGGAAGTTTGTCCCAATCCTATCGTTGGTGGGGTTCAGAATGCTCTTTGATTGTAGGTGAACTATAAATCCCAGTAACTACAACTCCCAAATGTCAAGTTTGGTCCAGATCTATCATTGTTTGAGTCCACAGTGTTCTTTGGATGCAGGTGAACTACAACTCCAAAACTCAGGGTCAAAACCCACCAAACCCGTCCACTATTTTCTTTTGGTCGTGGGAGTTCTGTGTGCCAAGTTTGGTTCAATTCCATCGTTACTGTAGTTCAGGGTGCTCTTTGATTGTAGGTATACTATAATTCCCAGCAACTGCAACTCCCAAATGACAAAATCAACCCCAGTGTTCAACTTTGGGTGTATCGGGTATTTGTGCCAAATTTGGTCCAGTGATATCCTGCATAGCAGATATTTTCATTACGTTTCATAACAGTAGCCAAATTATGGTTATGAAGTAGCAACACAAATAATGTGATGTTTGGGGGTCGCCACAACATGAGGAACTGTATTAAGGGGTCACGGCATTAGGAAGGTTAGAGGGCCCCGTGGCCTCTGAGTCCGGCCTTCCAAGGCGGAGGAGCGGAAAAGGGAAGACGTGCAGGGCCACCCTTCCTTCCTTCCTTCCTTCCTTCCTTCCTTCCTTCCTTCCTTCCTTCCTTCCTTCCTTCCTTCCTTCCTTCCTTCCTTCCTTCCTTCCTTCCTGCTCCAGGCTGGTGGTTGTTTTCATTTGAAAAGGTTCCAGGTTCCAGGTCGGAATTGTTTACCTGGTTGCCATGGAGACCAGGGGTTTGAAGGGACCTCACGTCAGTTGGTCCTGCCATTGCCTTCCTGGACGCCAAGATGGGCAGAGGGCTCTCCAGGCAGCTCCAGCAGGGGCCGCCCCCCACAGAGGACGCTCCAGCCCAGGACCCTCCACGCGCGCCCCTCAGGACGGCCTCGCACACGTCATGGTTCAGGGTGAGGGCCACACTCCCCTCCGCTCCCCTTGGGGCCCCTTTGGGGCCAGCCCTGTTCTGGTGTCAAGGGCCCCCTTCATGGCCTCCCTTTGCTTTCGCAGAAGGTCAGGATGAGGCACCCACATCGCCGCGTGGGCCCCGAAAACACAGAGGATGTTCCTGTGGCTCCTCCAAGGTAAGCCCCGGGCCCCCAATTCCCTCCAGGGGTCCCCCTCTCTCCCCACAAGAGAAGACCTGGCCCAAGAGGGAAAGGGTCCCCAGGAGAGGAGCAGCCTGCCTTCTCCCTTTGGGTCCCAAGTCCACTCTCAGGGAGTCCCTTTACAGGTAGAGAGAATTTGTATGTGGTGGGGATTGGCCAGGGGGGATTGTGAGGTGAGGGGAAATTTGCATATGGGAGGTGATTGGCCAAGGGAGGCAGAAGAGGAAGGGGCCCCTGGGAAGGAGGGGGGATATGCAAAGTTTGGCAAGGGGGGATTGTGAGGCGAGTGTAAATTTGCATATGGGAGGTGATTGGCCAAGGGAGGCAGAAGAGGGAGGGGCCCCTGGGAAGGAGGGGATATGCAAAGTTTGGCAGGGGGGATTGTGAAGTAGAGGGGAACTTTGCATATGGGAGGTGATTGGCCAAAGGAGAGGGAGGAAGGAGGGGCCCCTGGGAGGGAGGGGGATATGCAAAGTTTGGCAAGGGGGGATTGTGAGGTGAGGGGACATTTGCATATGGGAGGTGATTGGCCAGGGAGGGAGAGGAGGGAGGGGCCCCTGGGAGGGAGGGAGATATGCAAAATTTGGCAAGGGGGGATTGTGAGGTGAGGGGAAATTTGCATATGGGAGGTGATTGGCCAAAGGAGAGGGAGGAAGGAGGGGCCCCTGGGAGGGAGGGGAGATATGCAATGTTTGGCAAGTAGGTAGAAGTATTTTTTTATATAAGTAATTTTTATTATAATAAATACGTACTACAAACACATTTACTAACAGTTACAATCAAATGAGACAGACTTTGTTTTGCAGTATTTACGTTTGCAACATTCATATTTTCTAAATCATTATAGTTACAAAACCAGCTGCGATATGTCTTCAAAGTTTTTCTTTCTTCTTTGGTTTCAATTACAAATACAGTTATAGTTACAAACACAGTTGCAAATTCACAGATATAAGTGGGGGTTGTCTTGCATCCCAGCAACCTATGTGAGGCCTTTTCTCCCAAAATAAAGAACTAATTAGTTCAAATATAGTCAACAGTCAACAGGAGTCGATCAACTGATTGAAACTTTATTAAAGAAAATGGTGTTCTATAGAAAAGCTACGTTAATGGTACACTCCAGAGTACAGAATAGCAAAGTATTTCCAAGATATACATGAAAGGCAAAAGCAGAAGTACATCTAAATACTGGCTTCAAAAATCATTCCAAAATATAGGTTACAGCAATAACCTTCTTGATGCAGCAAACAGCAGAGCCCAATACTGAAAGTAAAGCCAAAAATCCCCAGACAAGGAACTGTATCCAAAACGTGATTCCCCAATTCCAAACAAGAAAAAATGACATGAAAACAAGGTCATAAGCACATGAAAAGGTGACTTTGAAATCAGAGCTGATGGGGTTTAACCTGGGTAAAGGATTTGGAGAAGCTTGTAAAAAAATAAAATATTGAATTTATGTATACAATAAAAGTTAGTGTTTGTATGCGGCAGGAGGGAGGGCAGTGTATGTATGTATGTGGCAGCGTTCTGATTGGCTGATACATCCACAGCTTTCTGATTGGCTACCACATTCATAGGCCACTGCTAGGCCCCAAAAGAGGATGCCATCTTCCCTTTTCAACATTGAGCCAAAGAAGTCAGCTTTTGGCACACAGTGCCTCCAAGACCCACTCTACATCCTGGTGAAGTTTGAAGGAGGGCGGACCATGGATGATGGGACTTGCAGAACCTTCACTCATTTCCTGAGACCACTGTGACCCTCATCCAATGACTGCTAAACACCAAACTTGATACACAGAGCCCCATGACCCACTCTACATCCTGGTGCAGTTTGGAGGAGGGTGGACCATTGATGATGGGACTTGCAGTACCTTCATTCACTTCTTGAGACCATTGCAACCCACATCCAATGACTGATCAAAACCAGACTTGGCACATAGAGCCCCCATGACCCACATCACATCCTGGTGCAGTTTGGAGGCGGATGGACAATGGAAGATGGGACTTGCATATGGGAGTTGTAGTTCACCTGCATCCACTGAACCCAGATGACATTGGATCTAGACTAAAACTGCAACACAGACAAACAATGCCTTTTTCAAATAACCCGGGCACTGCCGGGTTCCCAAGCTAGTAAAAAATAAAATTAAATATTTGGGAATTTACTTAACTAATAAGCCAATGAGGTACTGGGATTATAACTATAACAAAACATGGGAAAAGATACAGGTACAAATGAATAATTGGAAGGATAAGAGTTTAAGTACTGCAATAAGAATTAGATCAATTAAAATGTGCATACTTCCTAAGTTATTGTGTTGTTGTTGTTGTTCATTCGTTCAGTTGTTTCCGTCTCTTCGTGACCTCATGGACCAGCCCACGCCAGAGCTCCCTGTTGGCCGTCACCACCCCCAGCTCCT